TTTGAAAAACACTAACAAGTCAATGTTTACTGTAAGATCACTATAAAACATTAACGGGTCATTGCTTACTGTAAGATCACTATAAAACACTGTAACAAATCACAACAAAATGCTATAACACGTTACTGTTTTCTGTAAGATTACTAAAAACACTTTAACATAATAGTGTAAAATAGTATGTATGTTGAACTGCTAAAAAAATACCACACTGTGGGAACAAAATATTACCACAAAAGACTAGGAAACTTATTCCAAATATTCCATTTTTCCTCTTCAGTCCTACACAGTCTTCTGAGAAGCCACTGATGTCTTATTTACTATTATACCAGTACAAGAAACAACAGAATATCTCAAGCAAAAATTACTTAGCACTTCCAGTTCTGTGTAATATTTTCATATCCCTCACTGAAATCTGTGTAGAAAACAACGTGTTCACCTACTTAGAATAATATTTCAAACAAAAATAAGGAAAATCAAAAAGGGAATCCATTACTTCCAATACCATGTAACATCTTTATAGAGTACTAGCTGCAACCAGCAAAACATTTGTGGTAGTTTTCATGCCCTTTGCTTAAAGTTTCCTCATTCTATCATTTTCACACATGGCATTTAAGTTGCACTTTATTGCAGGCATTATGCATTAAATCAATAAATCCTGGTCTATTTAATACAAACAACTCATATAGACATAACTTTATTTCATAAAACTACATGTAAAGTAAACACTAATGTAATGGTACTTTTAATAGTGTACAGAATATGAAACAGTTATGATGTTCAGTGTATGATACAGTTTTATGACTTGAAAAAAGAAACTTACAAAAACGATGAATAAAACCTGTACTAAAGAAAATAGGTAGCTAAAAGGTGTTTATAGCAGTCTATGAAACAAACTGAAGCTAAGTTATCACAAAGTAAAGTAAATTTAAAGTTGTAATGAAGGCAAACTTAGCTGATATGAAGAAACATTTGAATGTGTATTCACAAAGTGATAAGTATATGGTTTTGAACAAACTGAGCATGCAAATTTTAGACCTGAATAAGTCAATAAAGCCCACAGAATTTTTTTTAGTGTAATGTTCATTTGTTTGTGTAAAATACTTTGCAAATAAGAAATCTAAAGTTGAAATCGAAGCTAACAGTCATGTGATGACAATGACATTGTGCCATCATGTGCTGTGCTTGTTGCATTAAAAAGATTGACTAAACAAATGCAGGTAAGGTGATTTTGAATGGAAAAGCCAATATACAATCTGGACTCTTTGAACAAAGGACTTTCTAACGATATGAGATCTATAGCATTCAGTAAAGAAATTTGCAAGAAAAGTTTCAGAAAGACAAATGCAAGTGTATCATTTATATAGATTTTGAACAATATGAAGATTCCATGGTTACATCTCTGTCTGGCCAAATCACAGAAGTGATTTTCAAATCTTTCAAGCTCAAAAATAACAGAACACAAAGAGACATTAAAAACAGAAATAGGAAAAATGTAATGTTTCTCCATACAAAAAATTTTGACAACCCTATAAACAGAAAATTTACCAAAAATGATATATAAAACCGAGAATTAAATAAAACAAAAATTGATTAAAACCTGTACCTGTTAAAAAGTGTACCCAACTACAATACCTCTGAAAGTCACTTCAAACTAAATTGTTTCTTAACCACATGTCTTCAAAGGAATTTCGCAATCAGGTATGTGTAGGCAAATTTCTCAGAAGTCTGTACAGGACTTAAGAGGATACATGAAAGTATTGAAACTAATTTCCTAGTCTTTATATTAATACTTTGTTCAAAAAGTATATTTTATTTTTTACATTCATTAAACTATAACAGGTCACTACGAAAATTATAACAGATTATTTGTTTGTTAAAGGATTACTACAAAATACTATTATAGATTTTTGTTCGCTGTCAGATTACTACAAAACACTTTAACATGCCAGTTTATTGGAGGATTACCAAAAAACACTAACATGTTATTTTTGCCACCAAGTCACTGCTTTCTGTCAGATCACTACAAGATGCTTAATATTACCATGTAGCCAATACCAAACTCACATCTACATCCCATTAAATAGAACAAGATAATGTATGGATATGTATTACAGTCTACTTACCATTCCCTCCAACCACTTGTAAATCAGGATATTTTTTTTTGATATAGCGAATCATTTCTATCTGATAAATGGAGTTTCCCTGAGAGGAATCCTGTATAGATAATACATTTAGTGTTTCACTGCTCATCCAAAGCAGGTACTAACCATTTCTTTCCTTCATGAATTGCAGCTACAGTCATATTATATAAATGTTATCATCATTATACTTACTCAATTTCTTGTAAATATCTAAATAATTGAAACAAAAAAAAATACTTGACAATTCCTGAACTTATGTTACAGTGTTTCAAATCCATTAATTCAAACTTCTACTAACTTACACAAACTTTTTCACACTACTGCCTTGTCAATGAACACTGCTGGACACAAAAACCAAGCAAAAAAAATGTTATAACTTACATAAAAGTGTAGTTTAGAATTTCTAAAACTGAGTCCTTAGCTATACCTAAAACTTACATAAAAAAAAGAGAGAGAGAAAGATTACAACAAAGTTAGGTTTTTTTTCTTATTATTATTTTCTGCTCATTTTCTTAGTTTAGTGAGCATGTATTTCTAACTTATTACTTTCACAAAAAAGTATATTTTTTCTAGTTTTTGGTATAATTTCAGGAATTTCAAACCATTTTCTTCCACATTATAACAAGTTTATACATCAGATAAAAATATTCATGCATTATTTATTGGTAAACCAAGATAAAATTTTTTGTTTATGTGCTAATTATTAACACTATTTTAACTCCAAGCAGAACAGAAAGGTGAATTAGATTAAGTATTTTCATTGTTACTGGTTATCCACCATAGATATCAATAAGAAATATGATACCATTCTTGAAAAACAACCTTTCTTTATCACTTTTAATATGACATATGCCACTAGATTAATGATTCAGTACGTAAATCAATATATTATGGACATACACTACCACTGTGTACTCCCTCCAACCAATAGAATCACATCAATGTGAAAAAGAATGAATAAAACTGACACTGCGAGTAATCTACTTCTCCCCAGGTGTTTGTAGCTATTGCCTTTCTGGATCTATCATTAGTATTACTCTTAACTCCTTAAACCTGAGCTGATAGTACAAACATCCAGTCAAAAATCCCGATTTATGCATTGGACGGTGACAGCATTGGATAAATTCCAAGTCTTTTTGGTTGAAAACTAATCCAAACCATGTTATTATCCACCTTTTATAAACAGACTGGAAATTTTATCAGGTATGGTTACAATTATTAGGACATCATGAAAATAATTCCATCAGAATGCACAAAAAATATGGGTTTAAAGAGTTAAAGCAATTTAGTTAAACAGCCATCTAACTTCCTCCCTCCCTTACTCTGACCATGTCTGTCATAACCACTTATGTCTACATCTCTCTAATTTTATGTATAACGAAAATACAAAGTAAAATGTTTGAAACTATTATGTATTTTCCCCCACTGATACAATATGAATTTCTACATAAACTTACCAAAATTATGACATCTACTCCTGACTGAATCAACTTTTCTAAGCGTTCTTTGTCAGAATCCTGAGTACCAACAGCAGCTCCAACCAAAAGTTGCTTATTTGCATCTTTTGATGCTAATGGAAAACTACGACTCTTTTTCAAGTCGGTACGGGCAATGATCGATTCTAGTTCTCCATTGTCATTCACAATGGGAAGTTTTCCTATGGAAAATAAAAACTTTTCTTAACATTTTATACACTATTTCTGTTAGAAAGTTATTGTAGTATCACAACATGTTAAAACTGTAGAAGAGAGGCATGCCCCAAAAAATACAGAGAACACATTTTCTTCTTACAGGCAACTTTTGCACATTATTTGTGAAATACTATGATGTATATTACTACATAATGTTCACTGGAGTCTGATAATTTCCATATACACAAATGGGCTTGATCTTGGAAGTTTATAATAAATATAACACAATTATATGGTAATAATATTGAATTACTATCAGATTACACTCTAGTCTCAATAACCAAACTCATTTATACTTTTATTCATTTAATTTCACACTAAATTTTACTTGCACAAACACAGAATTATTATTATTATATACATTTTCAACATTATTTAAAACACAAATTACTATAAAGTTGCAACAGACTACCTTTTTTACTCTGTTGTAAAATCTCATTTGCTTCCTTTAAAGTTATTCCTGAAGGAGCAACCACTAAATCTTCCTTCTTCGTCATAACCTAAAGAAAAGAAAATATTATCTTCATACTTTAACTAATTTTTAATTCTATTGCACCATGCTGTGCATACAATAAGCTATATTCATAAATACCCCTCATTGTTTGTTGGGCCTGATACCTGAACTTACCAGTGTATATATGAATGGTTCCAAATATCACAGCAAAACAATATATTATCTAAAACTACAATTACAAAATAAAAATTATTTAGTATCATTATATGATGGAAGTTTAGTCTGAAGCTATCTATTTTTAAGAAAAACAAATTATACATATAAATTATGATTTCATTTTGTGTCTTAGGTCATGATGTGTTAATCATTTGAAAATCATATATATACAGTGTCACCATTTTGCCTGAAATGCTTGGAAATTTTATTCAAATGGTAGAAAACACTAAAATTTAAATTATCTTTTTTAAATGCATTTGAATAAACAGCATTTAAAGATAACCTATTCAAACACTTAAAATTAATCAGCCTTGAAAAGATGTTTCAACTTGTGCAGTATTTCAAGTGAATCAGATTTGAGTGGATGTTTTCTACTTGTTTAGTATTTTAAAATAATCAGCTTTGAAAGGATGTTTCTACTTTTGCAGTATTTTAAATTAATAACCCTTGAAAGGATATTTCTACTCACATAGTATTTCAAGTTAGTTAGCCTCAATAGGATATTTGCCATGTAGCATTTATCCTGGCTCCATTTTGTGATTGTGTACATATTTTTAGCAAGAGATCCTTTAGCAAAGAAAAGATAAATATGAAACTGCACAGTTGAACTAACTGTTATGTTTACATGCTAAAATAAACAATAACTAAGGAAGAGTCTGAAGAGGTTTCTTACGAGGACTGAAGAACACGATGTACTCAGTTTAAGTCTCTCCTTGCTCCAGAGAAGCTACAACCTTTAGCTATAGCCATGTATGTAAATATACATATAGTTTAATCAAAATACATTGTAAGGTTAACAGCACTGATTTTTCTCCTATCTTTGGCAAATTGTTGAAATGGTTTCTAATGATAAATTGATAAAGTTTAATGAGTAACATTAAAGAATGAGTGAACTATGACAGTAGTTTAACTCTTTATAAAATTGGGATGTATAAAGTTAGGCTGAGAAAGAGTTATTCAGTTCTAATGTTCAAATTTAAAATATCAAAAAAATATTCACAAACTTTAAAAGAAACTTTTTAAAACTAAGTTGCTATTACTTTCTATAATTTAGAAAATGACTAGACACAAGTTAGGTGTTTAAAATCATACAAGTATCATCAACATACCTGCAGTAAAATTAAAGTTTAAACAAATTTCAATATTGATTACATCAATTCTGTTTTACAATAATAGTAAAAAGATTGCTAAATTAGGTGCAGTTTTGAGGCTATTTGTATTGAATGATATTGTAAAGTTTTCCAAAAAAATCACTTGATGGCAAATTCAAGAAATTTAATAATATTAATTTTTACAAAGAGGATTAAAAAATATTTATTTAAAAAAAAATAACATTTATAATCATAAACTAGCTGTTTATAACTTGATTTTAGCCTAATTTTGTTACTTATTAGGAAGTATTGAGTAAAAAAGGAATATTTTAAATTAATGTTGATGTAATCATCAGTTTAATTTTATCAAAAGTAAAAACTTAGGATCAGTTCTGAAATTTCAAAAACTTGCATAAGTAATTTCTTTGTCAATTAAATCACTAAACTTACTAATAGCACATAAATATTCAAAATTTAATTTTATCTGTACTGACCAATTCAAATAATTAATATTCTGTACAAAACTTATTTTGATTAAAATTAAAACAAAACTGCTGAACTCGTAGCAGGTGAACAAACAAACTTAGCATTATTTTAGATCTTGTAGAAGTATTTTATTAGAATAAAAATCCTCACGAAAACAACTCTTTACCTAGAAACATTTTCCTGTCTTACCTCAAAAATATAGGTATAAGCACAACATCAATTATCTATTGAACTCTCTTCCATAAACTAAGCTTCTCTAAATAAAATTTAAAACTAAAACTATTATTACCTTAGAAAGAGGCAAGTCTAGCATGTCTTCCTGCATAAAATCAATGTCACGAGATGTCACTATTCCAACCAATTTTCCACCCATTTGTCCATTTTCTGTAATTGGGATTCCACAGAAGCCATGTTTTTTCTTCACATCGAATACATTTTTTACTTTGTCACTTGGACTTAAAACCACTGGATCACGAATAAACCCATGTTTATATTTCTGAAAAGTTATCCAAACTCTTCATTCCAGCCTTAGAAAAACATCCAACAGCATTTACAAAAGATATTTGGTTGTAAATTGCACTAACAAACTTTAATATTATTTTATTTTTTCACAATCAATTACACACGTGAACAACATGTCGTATTAAGCAACTGAAATAAGCTACTTCACTTTCCTTTCATTATTACACAATCCTATATCTACAATTTTTTAAACAATTATCGTTGCAAAAAAACAGAACAAATTAAAAGATATCGACACTTAGAGCAACTTCTTGTATGAAAATGTTGATAAATTTATAAGATTACTAATGACAGTGATAACACTACTAAGAAAAGTACTAACAATTTAAGAGTGGATTTGATGCATTGGACCAAGTCCATGAATCTATTTATACTATAACTCTGAATTTACTATGTGTATTTTCACAAAATTTGGTAAGCTTTCAGTTGACATTAAAAGTCTGTTCTACATTAAAAAAAAATCAGATTTTTTAATAAAAATATACACCTGGAAAAAAGTTAAGCACCCCCGTGTTTTTTTCAAGTGATTCAGATTCGACGTTCTTGTGACTGATC